AACATGGTTCTTTATTGAGTTAATACGCGATGACCCAAGGGACCATGGCAGCTAATTGACAGACTTTTACAATTAATAAGCCCGTTTTTGTTGCTTCAATAAATATATCATCAACATATCTATCTTTTAACTTTTATTCACTAATTCTTTTGCAACACATCAATACGAACTTGTTAAATTTAGATATTTATATTTTACATAAACCAGATTTTTTTTTATTGGACTATACAACTTTTTTGATATCATCATTTTATTATGGGAAAACAATAAAATAAATTCTGAAAAGATTATCTAGTCAGTTAAAAATTGTTATGCAGTAAAAAGTTTGATTTTAAATGAAATGATTTTCTAAAATTAATTATGGTTTAAATTGATGATAAGATGATTTATATTTGGCTAAATTAACGATATAATTATTAAATAATTTTTTTGTCTAAAAAGTATGTTTTGACTCCAAACCTACAAATAAAGTAGAATCAAAGAATAATAAATTTTATTCGAGAACAATCATGTCAAAATTAGTTCTACAAATTTACAATCAATTTTGAGTGATTTAATGGGGAATTCAAACATACCATCAAATAACAAATAGCTTGCACACACTCTATTCAATTCATGCATTTTCTTGAGTGTAAAACGTTTATGAAAACGGTCTTCGTAAAAATTTATTATAATAATAATATTAATAATAATAATAATAATAATAATAATAATAATAATAATAATAATAATAATAATAATAATAATAATAATAATAATAATATACTAGTTCCTTTTATATCACTAAACTCCCACAATTTAAAGAATTTTTATCTTTTTATTTATTGCTCTTCTGTTTGTTTTTATGTTGCCTTTTTGTTGTTGTTCTTGTTGTTGTTATTCTTCTTGTTGTTGTTGTTGTTCTTGTTCTTGTTGTTGTTCTTTTTATTGTTGTTCTTGTTGTTGTTGTTGTTATTGTTGTTGTTGTTGTTGTTCTAGTTATTGTTGTTGTTGTTGTTGTTGTTGTTGTTGTTGTTATTGTTGTTGTTATTGTTGTTATATCATCATCGTCATCGTCCATATTCAGAGCAGTCCCTGATATTTAAAGGTTCTACTCCAACACATTTTTCTTTGTAAAATAATAAATTTAAATAGTAAAATAATACATTTTGTAAAACTAGCTTATTTATCGTTACACTAACTAGCTTATACTGTATATTAAGTTGATCAATTATTATTTCTATATTCATTTAAATTTTATGATTTAAAAAAATACATTTGAGGGCTTTGGTTTTTGTAGGTGGTTGTAGGTCTACTTACCCTAGTCAAAGACTGACCCTGTCAAAATATAATTTTAAAATTATATTTATATTTTAGGAATATGAATGTCTATATTTCTATTGTGTTTTTTGTTCTTCGGTGTTAGAATCTATTGACCATATCATTTTTCACTGTCGCATTTCTGTCTTGGTTTGGAATGAGATCGCAAAGTGGGTTGGCATAAAGGATCATTGGGAGGGTTGCTTTAAGAGTAGTTTTTCATCTTGGCTTTGTTTTTATAAGGTCAAGAAGGTGAATGTTGGAAAACATGGTTGCATTTGATTAGCGGTTTGTTGGAATATGTGGCTATTAGGAAATGACATTATTTTTAAAAATGTTGGTTGGGGCATTTTGGATATTATTTGGAAGATCAAAATTTCAATTTGAAAATAATATTTGATTTGAAATACTACACATTTCAATTATAGCTTTTATGAGTTTGACAAATACCCTTCGTCATCTCCTACAAACAATTGATTGAATCATGTTATCATATTGAATTAATTTTGATAAAATTCATATGCCATTTATCATTGTCAAATAACATACGTGTCTACCATACAATTTTTAACTTTTTGTTTGCAATGAAAAGTTTAACCAAACAATTTTAATTAATAACATCTACATATTACAAAATGAAATATTTAAATATATTATCTAACAAATAGTATATTATTTTTATCACCTAACATCAATTCCTACCAATTTAATTAAAAAAAGATTTTCACTCAAAGGAAAAAACAACCAACGATTTAAAATGATTTTAAGATTAGGCAAAAAAATTAATTAGACACGAGAAAAATTTCTTCTTCAACTTAGTTATAAAACTGAAATAAATTTCCAATTCTAATTTAAAAAAGTGGTTGATTTACAATTATCAACAATTTATTTTCAATAATACATAAATATAAATAAATATTATTAAAAAAATTAAATGGGAAGTTACACCAATTTATCTTAACTAACGATACGGCTTGAGATATCTCGACACCCAAATTCCCAAAATATTTAATCTTCCTATATTTTCACATCTAAAAAGCAAAAACTCATCAACTAAATATTCTCAAATTCAAAAGAACTCGTCAAACTGTAAGTTATAAACTCCAAACCTATGATATATCCTTCACACAATTCTACCTAGTAATTCAAAATCATCACAATTATCAAAGAATGTAATATTCTACTAAAGATTTCAAATCAGAGAGAGCGTGACAAGATTTTCTCTTCATTCTATTTAAAGCAACTTAACTCATGCATTTTTTCTCCTTATTCTACTTCTCTAATATGACCTTGTTTATTGATAATAGACTCCCCTCACACAACAAATCTAAAATAACTAATTATATAGTTCAATCGATTTACCGAAAACAATTTTAAAAAATTCTTTAAACAAATTGTTAAAACACTACAAAAAAGAAAGCTCTTCTCAACGACGTTAATTTATGACGTAATTATTATGTGGCAAAAGAAAGAACAGTTGCGATGTGATAATCAAGTCACTAATATTTTTAGTATTAAAATAATGAACATAACGTTAACAAGGTGGGAGTGAGATTTTTTTTATAAATATTTACGACGAGAGAATCACGTCGCAACTTTAAAATTTAAATAAAAATAAATAAAAAGGTTGTAACGTTCACATAGGAGAAGTTTGAAATTTTCAAAATTTTAGTTGTGACGTGAGAATCACGCCGCAACCTTTTAAGAGGGAAAATAGTCTTACTTGAAATTGATTGGTTGCAGGATGACAGAATAAAATTTTTACAATTGGTTTTTTGTGATGTGAATATCACGTGAGAAGGTTGAGACGTGATATTCACGTCAGTATGTGGCTTATATAAATCCGCTTTTCGCTTCCCAGAACCACTAGTTATGCTTTTTCTTTCATCCTATCACAATTTCTATTTCATAATTTTGCATAATAGACTTATATAGGTAATTGCCTTACATAATTTATCTTCAATTCATTTTTATAATTTTTTAATATTTATTAAGTTTTCTAATATATATTTATGTTTAATTTGTTTTGTCAAGATATTGAAGAAAAAAATATTGAAGAATATTGAAGAGTTTAGGAAAAAGATTGAAGAAGAAGATTAATTGAAGGATATTGAAGATGATTAATTATAGTAAATTTATATATATATATATATATATATATATATATATATATATATATATATATATATATATATATATATATATATATTAAGTTTTTTTAGTTTATTAATTTATATATTCATATTTAGTTTATTAATTTAATTTATGAATTTATATTTTGTTTCATAAATTATTTTTCAAAATCACTTCACAAGTTAGTGACGTGAAAATCAGGTCACAATAAAATTAACTTTTCTAACTAACAGTCTGTTATGCCTGCTTCTGTTGCAGTGTTTTAGATATTTATGCAAAAAGTGTCGATGTGATTTTCACGTCACAACTTTGTGACATGAGAATCATGTCGCAACAAAGTTGCTACACACTCCTCTGTGATGACGTTATAAGTCATGTCGTAAACAACATGTTGTGACGTGATTTTAAAGGTGGTGACGTGATAATCATGTCACGAACAGATTTATTTTTTATAGTGAAATTAGTCGACAAATTTAGCGTTACATGAGAAGAAATCAGTTTACACCATAAAATTCAACGACAATTATTACAATTTTATGAAAATGGGTAATTTACATACGCTAGAAATTATTAAAGTATACGCATTAATTTGTGTATAAATATAATGTTGATATGTTTTATCGATCAAAATTCATTTTATAAGAAAAATATTTTATAATCACATAAACAGTTTGTGAGATTAATTATTTTCAAGATTAATTATTTTCGGTTTGTACATGTTTTTTATAACAATTCAAAGATAGTATATTTATAATAGTAAGTTACATATATTTTTTAAATTAAAAACATCAAATTTTGAAATACAATCCAAACTGAGTAATCAAACCGAAAATTCCATTAAAACAGGAACATGACCGATGTTAAGCAATTTGTATTTCAAACATGGTTCTTTATTGAGTTAATACGCCATGGCCCAAGGGACCATGGCAGCTAATTGACAGACTTTTACAATTAAAAAGCCTGTTTTTGTTGCTTCAATAAATATATCATCAACATATCTATCTTTTAACTTTTATTCACTAATTTCTTTTGCAACACATCAATACGAACTTGTTAAATTTAGATATTTATATTTTACATAAATCAGATTTCTTTTTATTGGACTATACAACTTTTTTGATATCATCATTTTATTATGGGAAAACAATATAATAAATTCTGAAAAGATTATCTAGTCAGTTAAAAATTGTTATGCAGTAAAAAGTTTGATTTTAAATGAAATGATTTTCTAAAATAAATTAACGTTAAAATTGATGATAAGATGATTTATATTTGGCTAAATTAAGGATATAATTATTAAATCACTACGCCAAAAATGATTTTTTGTATCACCTAATTTAATAGCACTTTTAAAAAAAATGCTATTAAAATGGAAAAAACACATTTATAATAGCACTTTTTAATCGGGCGCTATTATATAATACAGACTATGTAATTTTGATAGCACTTTGTACTAGAACGCTATTATTAAACTTCTTTAAGATAGCATTTTGTATAAAACGCTATTATTTGACTACCTATATAATAGCGTTTATTAAAAAGCGCTATTAATTAATAACACGCGGAAGATGATTACATGGCAAATCCTTATTGGTCACATTCGCGTGGACAAACATCACAAATCCAAGTCAAATTTTATTTCTATTTTTTATAAATCTATTACAATTAAGTAAACGAGTAAACAAAGTTTTTTAAAACTTCATTCACCAAACACGACGAGTTCATCGTCTCAGATCACCGGCGCCGTTGATTCTCATAACCGGAATTCCCCATTTTCAGGTTCCTTTCTCAATTTTGTTTTTTAGTTGTTTAATCGGAGAAGTGAAATTGATTTGCTTGTGTATTTTGAGTTTCATGCAGTTAAGGTTCTTGGTCTAGGGTTTTGAGATTTTGGATCAAGGTTTCTGGTATTTATGAACTAGTGTTTTAGATGCTAAAACTTGATTTGAATTGTTGCTTGATTTTAGGATTGATTACTCTGGTTTGAAATTAGGAATTGGGAATTAATCTAAATTGGGTTTTAATTTTGATGTTAAGTGTGTGAATTTGCATTTCAGAAAATGGCTTTAGGTGGAGGAGGTCCCCAAAGAGGAAGTGCAGCTGCTACTGCAAGCATGAGGAGAAGGAAAACAGCAGGTGGTGGAGCCTCTGGAGGAGCAGCTGGAACTATGCTTCAATTTTACACCGATGATGCTCCTGGACTCAGAATCTCTCCTAGATCAGTAAAAATATCCTCCCCACACGTGGACCAAAACTTTTGATAAAAAGCCGGATTGAAACCATGAGGACCGGGAGATTTGTCGGGATGCATTTGACTCAACGGCTCAAAAAGCTCCTCTTTCAAAATAGGAGCGGTTAGAAAATCATTATCCTCAACAGTAATGACATGATGTATTAAGTGAAACACCGGCTCGTATGTCCCTATTCTAGCTTCAAACAACTTATCGAAATATCGTTTTGCAATGCCACACATACCTTCTTGATCCCTGATTTCTTCGTCATCCTCCTTTTTAAGCATTTCAATTTTTTGAAAATTCCGCCGCATTCTGATCATTACTATCTCGAAAACCAGTAAGCTTCTCCCGAAGAGTATCTTTTTCCTCATTATTCTTGATTCTTGAAAAGTGTTTATGTTACATTCATGTAAGTTTCATTTCACTTTCTTATTTCAATCTGTTTGGAATTGTGTGTTCTTTGGTTTGAATCTGGTTATTGAAACTCAATGTCATGACATTTGTGAAAGCATTCTGATAACAGGGCTAGGTATTTTGTTTCTCATGGCAGCATTAGAACTGTTATGCTGTTTAGGATCGAATTCGGATTAAACTTGTGTTTGTTGTGTCGAAAAATGGCGCAATTCGTATCAATATCATGTTCATGTTAAATCTGAATACAAAATGGTGGTTGCATCTTTGCTTAATTTTGATTCGGCTTAGTAAAGTTGGTCGAAACATCGACACGACTATATGTAGTACTTGTGATGAGCATTGGTTTTATAGCTTTTGTTGCTTTGAGGCGTGACCATTCTAAGGCACTTTCGTGGTTCTTGAAGGCAGTGGAGAAGGGTGAGCCTCGCTCCATGGAGCTTCTCGGAGAGATATATGCCAGGGGAGCCGGTGTTGAGAGGAACTATACAAAAGCCTTTGAATGGCTTACTCTAGCATCTAAGCATCACCTCTACTCTGCTTATAATGGGATTGGTTATTTGTATGTCAAAGGCTATGGAGTCGACAGCAAAAATTACACTAAAGTATGATCATCTTTGCCTTTTTTGTGTTTGTATGGACTTCAAATTTTTGGGGAATGGAATGGGGACACACTTTATCGGTGGTATTGTGTGTCTATGTATGTCTATGCTTAATTTATGATATCTTTTTCTGAATTACAGGCAAAAGAGTATTTTGAAAAGGCTGCTGAAAATGACGAGGTTGGTGGCCATTATAACCTAGGTGTCATGTTTCTCAAGGGGATTGGAGTGAAAAGAGATGTGCGGTTGGCATGTAAATATTTTATAGTGGCTGCCAACAATGGTCAACCAAAGGCTTTCTACCAACTTGCAAAGATTTTTCATCTTGGTGTTGGCTTCAAGAAGAACGTTCCATTGGTAAGTTGATTCTTCGTTTGTCTTATTTTTAAATGCAAGTGCTGATTATAAGTTAATGATATAAATGGGAGTTTTCTGTTGCAGTCTAGATATTCAAATCAGTATATTATTTGTATTAAGACTATGTTAAGTTGGGTTTTCTGTTCTACACTTAGGGATCCACGCTTTACCCTCGAAAGAAGGGAAACTTGTCGAATATCGAGGTAGTGTTGCATCGTCATATGGATGGGGAAACCACTGAATATGAAGAATTAAGAGCTGAAAACGGTGTTTTTTCGTTCTATTATTTATAGAGAATTCTAATTATAGATTCTTATCAGAAGTTCCTAAGTGGTTTATTTTATTCTAAAACTTTGTTATAGTCTCTCAAGGAGAGTTGAGGCTCAAGAGAGTTTGTCGGTAGCCATAGAGGTATATGCAGATTGTTGGCAACTTCAGTTCTCTCTGGTTTTTATGCTTATATTACTTGTATTAATTCAAAATGTTCATCCCTTCGCTGCTATTTATTGTCATTGCAGGCTCACAATAAGGAAGATATTGAAAAATTCAGTAAACGGACAGTGAAGGTTGGTCGTTGTTTCTTAGACATGTTTATTTTAGGACCTTTAATTTTTTTCTTCCGTATGATAGATTGAAGCAAGGTTTTGGTATTATATTGTTAAGGATATATTTCTATATTGTAGGTGACTAAAGAAAATAATCAAGCATGCAAAAAACTTTTAAAACTCATGGGAGTGCCCGTTGTTGAGGTAACATATTGCAATACTTCAATGAAATAATATATTGTACTATGTGTTAACCATTTGGCTAAGGCTTCAAATTCTCCAGGCACCCTCAGAAGCAGAGGCTCAGTGTGGTGCTCTTTGCAAAGTTGGAAAAGCAACTTCACATCTGCTGTTTGTCTCCTTCTTGAAATCTAAAATATGATAAAATTATCTAAGTTATAATCTTTTTCAAGCAGACTTCATGGAAACGAATAGAAAATTAAATGTTACTATATATTCTTACATCTTTTTATAAAACCATTTAAATTTCAAATATATTGTTTCTTTAATATTTTTTGCATTTGATAATTCTATATTTTTTAGTGTTGTTCTTAACAAGTATGGAACCAGGATTCACAATTTCATTCTCATTTATTGCTTTTGTTTTTTTTATGTCTACCATCAATTTAAAGCCTCTACCGGAGAGGATAGAAATGGTTTGTGTTAGCGTCGGTGATGTGAAGAAGTTGTTGAAAGTGATGCAGATGGAATCGATGAAAGCGAGGTTGAGAGGTTCTTGTGATCTTATATTCTCTTTCTTTCTTTCTTTTAAGTACCTCCCTGTGGCATCAGCTTTCATAACTGATAGTTTCACAATAACTTCCGTCAATCTTCATCAAGGTATTTAACTTTGTTTTTCTTCCATCTGAATTAAATTTCCTTGTCGTTGTATTCACCTGCAGGTCATTATTTTGATGGAGGGGGTTTTATGTCAGCTTCACCTTTTTCTGCTGCTGTTAATGCTTCATCTGTTGGGTTTACAAATAGTTCTGGGGGCAATGGTGGAGTGCTTCCTGCACGGACGGATCCTTGTATGGCTCGCTCAGTTAGTGTACATGGCTGCTCTCAGATGCAGGGCCAGTCGTCAGTTCCTGCCCGAGGTTGTTATGCTATACTACTATATATTATATCCCTTGATCGAATTTTACCTTATCTAGTTCTGAGTTTTAATTTCAATGTATTCTTTAGTTTAGTTATGCTTGAGCTTGAGAAATGTCTTTGTCTGTGTATATGTAATCCTTGAGATCACATGTTTCAGTTAAATAAGTTCATATATTATATCCCTTGATCGAATTTTACCTTATCTAGTTTTGAGTTGTGATTTTGATGTAGTTTGTTAGTTAAGCTATGCTTGAGCTTGAGAAATGTCTTTGTCTGTGTGCAATCAATACTAGGGTAGTAAGATCACATGTTTCATCTAAATGAGTTCATCAACCTTCTTTTCTGAACTCTTCATACTTTGTCATTCTTCTTTAACTACTGCTGCACAGTGTTGTGGATGTAACTCTTGGTTTTTTAAGATGACCCAAATGATGATTACATTGATGGTTTAGAATTTGAATATGCTGTGATAAAAAAACAACACTGTTACTGCATTCAGTAAAGCAGAGTCTTATGTTGGAAATCGGACAGCTCACATTCTGAGCTTGTGCTTCGAATCTGATTTGATGAAGTCAGAATGTGAGCTATTGGATCTATGGTAAGCATTTAGATTTGCTGACTGCGTTGGTTATTGACTGCAGTAAATCCGTGTCTTTAAAATATTGTGCATAATGATATTATAACTACTTAGATGACATATCATACTAGTATTGTGTCATTTTGAAACAAAACTTTTATGCACATGATATAACCTTCTTTTTTTTTCCTTTTCACATTGTTTCCAATTTACAGAGGAAAAGTTCGATAGTTTCAAGGATGCAGGCACCAATGTATCTCCTGCTGTTTCAAGGAGGGACATGGCTACCCAGATGAGCCCAGAGGGAAGTTCATGCTCCCAATAGGAGGACTTCTTTCTCTGCTTCCACACCCCCTGCCATGCCTGTCACTGAGTTGCAGAGTGCCTCTCTCTCTAAAATGGATATCAGGGATGTGCAGGTAGATGAACGTGTAACAATGACAAGGTGGTCCAAGAAACACAGGGCTTTATTTTGTTTAGAGAATTTGATTGTATGTTTTTGGATTTGGATTGAAGTACTCATAGATGGGCATCTACAAATTTGGCTATGCAAACGCCCTCTTAATATTCTATATGTTATGATATTTGGAAACAATAGGATTTGGTAATTTAAAATGTTATTTGGTATTTGATGGATCATAATATATATGCAATGAGTAACTTAAAGCGTTATTTGTGTTGAATTGAATATAGTTATTTTATATTTACACCAAAAAAAATGATTGTGTAAGAAAAAAATATTGTACTGTACTTATTAAAAATATTGTACCAAATATGTACCATTTATTAGCACTTTATTTGAAAGCGCTATCAAACATATGTTATATATTAGCGCTTTTTGTTTAGAGTGCTATAAAAAAACAAACAAAAAACATGCAAAATACTGACTTTGATAGCACTTTAATTAAAACGCTATTATAAATTGGTACTTTAATAGCGCTTTTAAAGTGCTATTAAATAAGAAATATTTACAATAGTGGCGCGGTTAATAGCACTTTTAAGCGCTATCAAAAACAAAAAAAAGCGCTATTAAATAGCTTATTTGGCGTAGTGAATAATTTTTTGTGTTTAAAAAGTATGTTTTGACTCCAAACCTACAAATAAAGTAGAATCAAAGTATAATAAATTTTATTTGAGAACAATCATGTCAAAATTAGTTCTGAAAAATTTACAATCAATTTTGAGTGATTTAATGGGGAATTCAAACATACCATCAAATAACAAATAGCTTGCACACACTCTATTCAATTCAAGCATTTTCTTGAGTGTAAAACGTTTATCAAAACGGTCTTCATAAAAAATTCATTAAAATAATAATAATAATAATAATAATAATAATAATAATAATAATAATAATAATAATAATAATAATAATAATATACTAGTTCCTTTTATATCACTAAACTCCCATAATTTAAAGAATTTTTATCTTTTTATTTATTTCTCTTTTGTTTGTTTTTCTTTTGTCTTGTTGTTGTTATTGTTCTTGTTGTTGTTATTCTTGTTGTGGTTGTTGTTGTTGTTGTTTTTGTTCTTGTCGTTGTTGTTGTTGTTGTTGTTCTTGTTATTGTTGTTCTTGTTGTTGTTGTTATTGTTGTTATTGTTGTTGTTGTTGTTGTTCTAGTTATTGTTGTTGTTGTTGTTTTTGTGGTTGTTGTTATTGTTGTTATTATTGTTGTGATTGTTGTTATATCGTCATCGTCATCGTCAATATTCAGAGCAGTCCCTGATATTTGAAGGCTCTACTCCAATATATTTTTCTTTGTAAAATACTAAATTTAAATAGTAAAATAATACATTTTCTAAAACATGCTTATTTATCGTTACACTAACTAGCTTACATTGTATATTAAGTTGATCAATTAATATTTCTATATTCCTTTCAATTTTATGATATAAAAATATAATTTTGAGGGCTTTGGTTTTTGTAGGCGGTTGTAGGTCTACTTACCCTAGTCAAAGACTGACCCTGTCAAAATATGATTTCAAAATTATATTTATATTTTAGAAATATGAATGTCTATATATCCATTGTGTTTTTTGTTCGTCGGTGTTAGAATATATTGACCATATCCTTTTGCATTGTCGCATTTCTGTCTTGGTTTGGAATGAGATCACAAAGTGGATTGGCATAAAGGGTCATAGGGAGGGTTGCTTTAAGAGTAGTTTTTTTATCTTAGCTTCGTTTTCATAAGGTCAAGATGGTGAATGTTGGAAAACAAGATTGCATTTGATTAGCGGTTTATTGGAATATGTGACTATTAAAAAATGACATTATTATAAAAAATGTTGGTTGTGGCGTTTTAGATATTATTTGGAAGATCAAAATTTCAATTTGAAAATAATCCTTGATTGGAAATACTACACATTTTAATTATAGCTTTTATGAGTTTGAAAAATACCCTTCGTCATCTCCTACAAACAATTGATTGAATCATGTTATCATATTGAATTAATTTTGATATAATTCATATGGCATCTAACATTGTCATATAACATACTTGTCTACCAAACAATTTTTAACTTTTTGTTTGCAATGAAAAGTTTAACCAAACAATTTTAATTAATAACATCTCAATATTAAAATGAAATATTTAAATATATTATCTAACAAATAATATATTATTATTATCATCTAACATCTATTCCTACCAATTTAATTAAAAAAATATTTTCACTCAAAGGAAAAAACATCGTACCATTTAATATGATTTTAAGATTAGGCAAAAAAAATTAACTAGACACGAGAACAATTTCTTCTTTAACTTAGTTATAAAACAAAAATAAATTTCCAATTCTAATTTAAAAAAGCGGTTGATTTACAAATATCAACAATTTATTTTCAATAATACTTGAATATAAATAAGTATAATTAAAAAAATTAAATGGGAAGTTACACCAATTTAACTTAACGAACAATACGGCTTGAGATATCTCAACACCCAAATTCCCAAAATACTTTATCTTCCTATATTTTCTCATATTAAATTTTTTAAAAAAATCATCAACTAAATATTCTCAAATTCAAAAGAACTCATCAAACTGTAAGTTATAAACTCCAAACCTATGATCTCTCCTTCACAAAATTCTACCTAGTAATTCAAAATCATCACAAATATCAAAGAATGTAATATTCTACTATAGATTTCAAATCAGAGAGAGCGTGAGAAGGTTTTCTCTTCATTCTAGTTAAAGAAACTTAACTCATGCATTTTTTTCTCCTTATTCTACTTCTTTAATACGACCTTGTTTATTGATAATAGACTCTCCTCACACAACAAATCTAAAATAACTAATTATATAGTTCAATCGATTTACCGAAAACAATTTTAAAAAATTCTTTAAACAAATTGTTAAAATAATACAAAAAAAAACTCTTCTCAACGACGTTAATTTATGACATAATTATTATGTGGCAAAAAAAAGGACATTTGCGATGTGATAATCAAGTCACTAATACTTTTAGTATTAAAATAATGAACTTAACGTTAACAAGGTGGGAGTGAGATTTATTTATTTTTAAATATTTGCGACGTGACAATTACGTCACAACTTTAAAATTTAAATAAAAATTAAAAAAAGGTTGTAACTTTCACATGGGAGAAGTTTGAAAATTTCAAAATTTTAGTTGTGACGTGGGAATCAAGCCACAACCTTTTAAGAGGGAAAATAGTCTGACTTGAAATTGATTAGGTGCGGGATGAGAGAATAAAATTTTAACAATTGGTGTTTTGTGACTTGAATATCACGTGACAAGGTTGAGTAGTGATATTCACATCACTACGTGGTTTATATAAGTCCCCTTTTCGCTTCCCAGAACCACTAGTTATGCTTTTTCTTTCATCCTATCACAATTTCTATTTCATAATTTTGCATAATAGACTTATATAGGTAATTGTCTTACATAATTTATCTTCAATTCATTTTTATAATTTTTTTAATATTTATTATGTTTTCTAATATTAATTTATGTTTAATTTGTTTTGTCAAGATATTGAAGAAAAAAAGATTGAAGAATATTGAAGAGCTTATTAAAAAGATTGAAAGAAGAAGATTAATTGAAGGAGATTGAAGAAGATTAATTATACTAAATTTATGTATGTTATATATATATATATATATATATATATATATATATATATATATATATATATATATATATATATATATATATATATATATATATATATATATTAAGTTTTTTTGGTTTATTAATTTATATATTCATATTTAATTTATTAATTTAATTTATGAATTTATATTTTGTTTCATAAATTATTTTTCAAAACCACGTCACAAGTTAGTGACGTGAAAATCATGTCGCAATAAAAGTAGCATTTCTAACTAACAGTTTGCTATGCCTGCTTCTGTTACAACGTTGTAGATATTTATGCAAAAAGTGTCGACATGATTTTCACGTCACAACTCTGTGACATGAAAATCTTGTCGCAACTAAGTTGCTACAGACTCCTTTGTGACGACGTTATAAGTCATGTCGCAAAAAACTTGTTGTGACGTGATTTTAAAGGTTGTGACGTTATAATCATGTCACAAATAGATTTATTTTTTATAGTGAAATTAGACGACAAATTTAGCGTTACATGAGAAGAAATCAGTTTACACCATAAAATTCAACGACAGTTATTACAAATGTATGAAAATGGGTAATTTACATATGCTAGAAATTATTAAAGTATATGAATTAATTTGTATATAAATATAATGTTGATATGTTTTATCAATCAAAATTCATTTTATAAGAAAAATATTTTATAATCACATAAACAGTTTGTGAGATTAATTATTTTCAGTTTGTACTAGTTTTTTATATCAATATAAAGATAGTAGATTTATATTAGTAAGTGTTGTACCCAAAAATTTTCCCTCTCAATTATCAAATATTTTCTCACAAAGATCTCTCTTAGCTCAAGACTTCACTAGGGTTTATCAACTCAAGATACCTCCTTAAGCACTGATGACCAAAATTAGGATAATTGAACTTTCAATGCCTCATATGACTTTCATGGATCATTATGGACTCCCAAAATTACTCATGTCATATTTTAAGCCTTGGAGCACACTTTTGCTCAGTCAATGGAGCAGTTGACCTAAAAAATCAGTTGTATTGAGAAAAAAGTCAAATGTGGCCAATTTACAGTCAAACTTTATAATTTTTGATCCATGTCAACATTATAAAATCATATGTATCATTTGATCAAGTTTGTACTATAATTCCTCAAGAATTTTGATCAAATCATCAAAAGGGCAAAATGGTCAAAATTAGGATTTTGACTGAGGAAAGGCAATTTCTGATTTTTGACCTAG